GGTCCCCTGGCACAGTAGAAGGTGAAGTCAAATGAATATCAAAAATTGATTTACATGGGGTTTATGATATGGAACTGAGAGCAGAGAATAACTAATCCACGTACTGGTTACATGAGATGAGATAAAGTTTCCCCTTAAAAATTGCTTCCCCAGGTCATGAAAAGTATCTTTCCTAGTGGCGTATTGATACAGATTAGAGGCAATGGGAAACTTCAGGAGAATTAATCAGGTGAATTTATTCAGCTGCCTTTCCTGCTTAGAGTAGTTGGTGCGTGGAGTAGCCTTCCTTTCACAATTCCGCAGTGTACACCAAAAAAAATTGAGTGACCTTCGGATGTATGTTGTCCCCGTGTCCTCGGGGAGTTGGTGCATGGAACAACCTTTGTCTGATAGTTGTTGACGCTGCACTTTGTACCCAGTTGTTGATACAAACCATCGTAAACTTCCTAGGGCCTATCCGTTGGGGCATACGCCGTCACTACAATGCGGCACCGTTTTTATGTTGATAAATGTTAATTTTGATTGAGCTGGATAAATGGACGGTTCAAAGACGGTTGTTCAATGGGATCTAATCCGGCGAGCTGAGTGCAACTCTTACGCTACGTATTCCACGAGTCATCGCTTCTCGAACACCAGATACGGAGGAAAAATGTAAAAGAGATGAGTTCTTTTCTGGTGTTTTCAGATGTTTGATCACATATGGATCTTGTCTGCATGATTCTGAGACACAGTGCACATGAACTTTAAGAAATATGGAGTTTCACCTGGGGCATTCTGTTTGCGAGGTTGACTTAGAGTAAGGAATTTAAAAGCTCCTATGTAGAAATGATCTCGTGGATTGTTAATATGCAGTGAGAACCATAAGGTCGATCAGTCAGTTGCCGGACAGTCAAACGACCCAGCGACGTTTATGTGGCGGGAAAGGGTTGGGGAGGGACACTGGTGGACACGGAGCTGTACGGGCAAATGGTATTTCCTGGTTGCTCAGGCCGAGGAAGGGGGTTGGTTGGGGTACCCCATCTTGAGCCTTTGACTCAAAAGTCTGACTCACAAGGCAGTGGACAGTACGCTTTTCTTTGGACACCCTTCCCGGAGCCGATTACTCGATAACGTGACTTGCTCGGCTTCATGGGGTTGTCCTAACCCGAGGGCGCACGAAGTACGGCATTACTGTTTCATCCCTGATGAGACTACGCACAGCAGGTGCCTTTCGGGCAGCATCAGACTCTGGTTGTAAAATTATTTTGACCGTATTAAATAATGCATCAGCGGTCACGGTCACCCGTTGGGCGATCGGGGTGTGCGCTTTTCATGTTTGACCTTTTTTAACCTGTGCTTGCTCTGGAGAACGCATTATTACTGCTCCCATGAATATGGACTTGCTGGTCTCCTGGGGGAATCATTTTACTGCCTTCACACTTCTAGCGTTGAAGGTAGTAGGACTTTATCCCCAGATCGCCTCGTGGCACAATTGCTTGTTGTACTTGGTCTCGCTGCTCTTGGTCTGAGTGCTGCATTTTGGCATTCCTGACATGGTTGCACCTTGTGGAAGGAAGTTCCAGCCGATTTACTCCCACTGGATCATCTGAGCGGGCAAGCCTAACCACGACATCAAGGT